TGTGTGTGTGTGTGCGTGTATTTATACCATACGTTCAATTGCTAATTTACGTACAGATGTGTAAACATACACATGCACTTTCGCACTGCAATATGGAGTTGGCCGCTCTACGGCAGCATACCTGGAGCTGACAGCCTTGAGCTGTCGAGTCTTCGAGCTCAGTTCCTCCCTGGTCAGGACCAGGCCGAACGACTCGCCGAAGCTGCCCGAGAAGGCCCCAGCACACCTGCGAGAGTCAAAACCCGACAGGCTTAGGGTTTCAGATCTGGGCGCATGAATAATCGAATTTTTTTGGCGTGGCCAGCCAACGCCCACGGCCAAAGCCCGACAAGCCCGAGCCTCACCCGCCATTGTCAACAAGTCAGTCCTACCCCTAGACTCTAGACTATTTTCCGGGCTTATGAACGATGGAGTCTACCGTGATGTCTGCTCGAAGGATAGGGGGCTGAGGTGACTGGAGCAAACAGGTTGTTGTAAGTAGGCCCTACATCTTAAGCCATCTGCAACATCGAATGTCACTAAAGCCTGCAGCCTCGACCCTACACCGTCCGGAGCCCCTCATAGCAGCTTGTCTTGCAATGCGGTCGAAAGGTACCGAGTCGACCAATGAGAAGAAGCGGAGGCGGGTTGAAGCACCCCAAACCCCTGACTTACCTGAGTTTTATAGGTTTTGTTTCAGGGGGTTTTGGTAGGTGCAACTGTTTTTTTTGGGTTGTTGACGGTTGTATCAAAGCCCCTAGAGCCCTTTTGTTGGCAATAAAGCTCCATGCCTCCCAAACCCACAAACCCCGCCGACAACCAGAAGGCCCCACCCACAACCCCAAGGCCTGTGACTCTGAACCCTTGGAACACTTGGATCTTGTTACTCGAGGGTGTCGATTTCGGTGCTTTAGGACCAGTTGAGGGGGTTTAGGCGGGAGTTTTCGCTAGAGTTCAACATCTTCCGAGCAGCTTGACCACAGGTTATCGGTGCTTAATGCCTATACACACTGTTTGGACTCAAGTTGTGGAGCCAGGCAATCCCCAAGCCTCGGGTTGTTCAAGATTTGAGACAAAAAAATGGCTCAAAGCACCCATGATAAATTCGTTCTTCCCTAAACCCTACCTCGCCCGACATGTCCGAGTTTTTTGGAGCCTAAACAAAGCCAAGAAAAACTCCTTGGCACAGCCACTCCAGGAGCTCCAAAGCAGAGACGCCCATTCCTGGGGGCTTTCACAAGGATCAGCAAGTCCTCCGGCTACAAAGCGAGGTCTGAATATAAGTGGGTAATGTAGTATAGATGTATCGCAGGGTGCCGATTCGTCTCTGTCTGTGTGTGTAATTTCGGAAGCTCTGCTTCCGAAACAAGTGATCCTGAAACCTTTCATTAGCCCCCCCACCCCCACCCAAAAACTTATTTAGTGTTCCACAATGAACTTTCCAAGCTTTGCGTGATAGAGACCCCCCGTACAAATCAATTATGGACGTTGTATCCTTCAACAAGGCTTCTGTACGGGTTGTTGTACAGAGCTTTATCAGGTAAATTTAGGGAGTGCCTAGACCCCCCCCACTACCTTCTACCAGTAGAGTGGCAGACAGTATTCACTTATCACAATCACTATCTGTGATTGTCGTATAGTGTACAACCAAACCTAGTTTACGCACCTACAGGCCTATAACCTATAGGTTTTTATATTCACTTATCCAGCACCCGTTTAGGGCTTCCCTTCCCAAACCTGTGATTCCTACACACGGGGAGAAGCTGCAAAGTCCAGGTCGTGGCGAGACACGACCTCTACCTCGAAGGCTGTGGGCTAAGATTCGGGGTGCGGAGTTTTAGGTTCACCAGACAAGGGTGTTTGTTTGATGTGCAGGGTGGCGGTTTAAGGCCGTGCTTACCTTTGGCAGTTTGGCAGAGGTGCTGCTGGGATAAAATTCCTGGGGCTCCCCAAACCCCCCTCCTCGGGCAGGGGACACGATTATGGCGCTTTACATGGACAAGGTCGCCAGCTCAGTTCGTTTGTTCCGGGAAGGGGCTCTGATGGGTATTGGATGTCGGCTTCGGGGATTCTGCAGGCCGGATGAAAACCCGCGAGAATACGAACGATTCGACTCCAGACCCAGATCCCTCCAAACCCTAAAGTCCAACCCCCCCCCAGGGGGCATTGATATCTGAACCCTAAACCCTAAAGGGGAAACAAACCCTGGCTTGATGCCTGCACCCTGAGCTCCTCCTTTATTTACCACACCCGGGCTACCCGTCCTCACGCCACCCCCCAAGCAAGCTCTACCGCCGTAGCTGAGCAGAACCTTCAAGGCTTTCGAGTTTTATGTCCGGGGACCTACTGTTGTCAACAAACCCTAAACCCTAAACCCCTAAACCTTAGGCTAAGGTTGTTTCAGCCAAAGAACTCAGCATGTAATCGGGCTGCAGGGAAAGGCCAGGAAGGATCTTCGACAAGAGGAATCCGATGCTTGCGCTTCCTTGTCGGATTTGGGGTGGAGGGTTTGGAGTTTTTTCTACTCGTGTTCACGGAAAATGATGCCCCGTCTGCCAAGGTCCCACAGACAGTAAGCCCCCTTGAGACCTCGAACTAGAATTCCAAAGCCCAGACGGCCCGAAGCCGAAGAAGTTGCAAAGCCTGAAAGACCCCGTCGGAGAAAGGCCGTCGTGGTTGGGCCCTCGAAGAGTACAGATCCCAACCGCGTTTGCGTGCAGTTCGAGGTGGGCATGTGCTCAGCTAAAGCACAATCTCGGTTTTCGGGTGCTACTTAACAGACACAACGTTGCAGACCTATTACCTATTACTGTCATGATAGTACTATCATTATTGCAAATATTGCTAGAATTGGTATTATCGTTATGTTATAATTAAATGAGAATGACTCTGTATCTATATCTATATCTATACATAATATATATATATATATACATATGGATAGCTGCAGAGGACAGGGCCATGAGGCTAAAAAGGTCAGCAGCAGCTCAATGAGTCTGCGACCGGAAACCTTAATTCGTGATCACTAAACTACTTCCAGCTTCCTGAAGCCCTCTGTGCTAAAACGATGCTTCCTCGAACTCGTCGGCCCATGTCCGTGACACAAAGAAGGGCAAGGCTGAGGTTGTGTGGAGTTCGTCGTAGTTCGTGTGCTGAGGAGGGTTTGAGCTCTAAAGCCTCAGAGAGCAGCGGCTGCTGGGTCCTGTTGGGGTCTTTTCTTCTGGTCACCCGATGTCTTTTCAGGATCTTCTACCCAAGTGTTGTGCAGATCAGAGTCTAAGGTTGACACAACGCCGAGTGGAACTCCTGCTTCGCACACCTTTCCGCTCCCTCTCTCCCATTCTGACTCTCTCTCTCTCTCTCTCTCTCTCTCTCTCTCTCGCCTTCTCTCATCGGTGTACTTGCAACATGCAATTGTTATAGACACGTCTGTGGTAAATGAGGTTGAACCGCAGCTCCAAAGCCACCAAAGCACTTGAACAGATGCGACGCGACGGTGGCACCATGTGGGTCAACGTGATGCCTGCCCGGCTCTCGGGTGTTTGTCGCGACGGTTTGGGATCTACGGAACTTTGGTGCTGTGGGTCTCTTTTCGAAGACGTGGCCTTCCACGTCTTCGCGTTCCCGAGCTTCAAGTTTTTAGGGATCAGTTCGTTAGGGCATTTAAATTAAGTCCCAATCTTGTCGCCCAGCAATCAGAACCACGGCTTCCCACGGACGCGACAAAACCCAAGAGGAAGGTAGACCTGTAACCTGAAGTAGGGTCGCTCTTAATGTCCTATATACCCGCACCAGGGCTTTAGAATCAGCCTCCTACAGAGCAAGAAGCACAGCTGATCCTGTTGTAAACCTAGCCAGGTTCGCTGCCCGAGCTCACAGGTTCAGGGTCATTACTGGTCAGAGGTTATGGGATCAGGGTGCAAGGTGAGGTAGATGCACACTCAATTTTCACATCATAAACGGGGCAGCGGAAATCTCTCAAGAGGTTAGGCCCAAACACCAAAGCAGCCTAGATTGCGAAGCGTGGCACTTTCACCGAGCGTAAGGCTGCTGTCTAAGCCGGAACCGAAATCCTTCGCTCGGCCCCTAGAATGGTAAGAGACGCCCCTCGAATCCTACTTGGAAGTCCGGGGAAACTTGGCAAGTAGTAGTGTCTTTTCGCTTCTTAATTTGAAGACCTTCTTGCTAAGTCACCTGAATCCCTATTTCCAAGGATGAGATCATGTCGGAAGAGAACGGTCAGCTCATGCAGAGTATCATCCTGAAAAATGAAGAACGCTCTTGGGATGCAACTGGCGATTCGAGAGTTGAGGTTCTGAGGCTTGCAGCTTTGTAGTTCAGCAGATCAGAAGAAAGACAGAAGCATCATCGGACTCGGGCCACTGTTCCACACCACTGTCACATCGTAGCCAGAGCAGTAGGAAAAGCGATAGCATCAAGCCTTCGGCGCCAGGGATAGTAGAGGCAACGCCAGCAATGGTGTCGAGTGTATTGACGCCGATGACTGCGATAGTTGTCTAGAAGTGGCGGCGCAAGCAGCGGATAGGTTTTGCAGAAGCATATTCTGTGAAATAGTTTCAACCAGCTGAACCCTGACAACCTCCTACCCCAAGCTTCACATTCCAAATTCTCACAGATTTGATCCAGGGAAGCAGCGCCGAAGGCAGCTGAACGCGAGTCCGGAGGAAGGGGAGGAGGAGACTTTCCCAAGCACTCTTCGAACCCGGGGGTTCGTATGTTATGTATGATGGGTGATAGGTTCATCTGTGATTTACATACTAGGTTTACACACACACACACACACACGCGCACACACTGTTTTTCTTTTTTGTTTTTCTTTCTCTTTCTCTCTATGTCTCTCACTCTCTCTCTCTCTCTCTCTCTCTCTCTTTTTATCTGTATGTACATATATGCACAGAAGAATACCGAGTCACATCAGCCTCGACGTCCTAACTCTGGATCCAGTGATGGGTCGGCTCTCGCGCTACGAAGGGCCACGAGGATCCCCACGAGGCCTTTGCCCTTGGACCCCAAGAGACACTTTATGGCTTCGGGTTCCATTAGGGTTTAGGGTTTAGGGTTAGGATTTACAATGGGCCAAACACCCAAGAGACACATCTCTGAGGCAGCCTTCAGGACCCTCTAAGTCTCTGTTCGTTTCTGAGTCAGACCCGGAGTTTTGCGAGGAGGATCCTCCAATGCTCTTCCTGTCCGACATGGAGCTCGGCGGCGAAGGCCCACAATTGTCGTGGCTGCAACCGTCCCCGCGTTCCATGTCGGGTCCGTACCAGGGACGATGTCAGCACCACAACCCTGAGCCCGACTGCCTCCACGTACCTGCGCACCTTGCGCCCCAAAGTGCAAAATGCCCTAGAACGAAGATCGTCGTAAGAGCACACATTTTCTCCAGCCCGAGACCCTCAATGCCAAAACCAGAAGCCATCGAGCCTACACTATGAGTCCTGAAGTCGGAAATCCTTTATTGTTCATCACCGGCCTCCAGCATGCAAAAAGCAATTTTACTCAACTCGCTAAACTTGGGTACTTAGCAAGCAGGGCTTCTGTTTTGAGCCAGTTCTTCCGATTGTCGAGTTCCACTTCACTTATGCAAGAGGCTGACAACCATTCGAGTATGTGTCTACATGTATATATATATATACATACATGGTTTATCTCGATGCTGATCTGTTTTGGGGGTGGCGATAAAACCGAGACTCAACAGTACGACGCTGTTGCGGTGTGTGCTTGCGATGGCATGTTTTAGCAAAGAGTTCTTTCTTGTGTCTCGCATCTGAACATGCATACACAGACGAAAGTATGTGATACACAATGGAAGGGGTTTGGTCGACTTGCCGTCTCTTGTGGGGTTTTGAGGTGCCTCGGGCACTCCTTCAACTGCCCTACAACCCTGCAGGAGCTGACAAATCCAACTAGATTGGATACAGCTCCTTCCCAGATCGCCGCAGATCGTCACAAAACGTGCTCCGAGCTAACTTGAAGAAGCGCTCTCCACCATTGCTACAGTCGTGTTTAGTTTTGTATCACAAAATACAGCATCATATAACATAGTGTAACATAAATATAACATGATATAACCTAGTTTAAACTAATTTGCTACAACAAATGCAATGTATAATATATTGCTATATAGCCTTGTAATTGTATAACAACAGTACAATAGAACACAACATGACATAACAAACCCTTGGAGGCGCTTCCCACGGTCAAATTGGGCTCTCCGAGTTCATCCCTTTCCCCCTAAACCCTAAACCCTATAAACCTATATAAACCCTATAACTCCTATAAACCCTAAACCCCTATAAACCCTATAAACCCTAAACCCTATAAACCCTGTAACCCCTATAAACCTTATAAACCCTATAAACCCTATAAACCCTAAACCCTATAAATCCTAAACCCTATAAAACCCTATAAACCCTATTAAACCCTAAACCTTTCCCCCCAGGCACCGACAGCGCTGCGAAGCTGACGACCGGGTCATGGACCTCCTCGGCGATGCGGACGCGAGGCGTTGGGCTCTACCCATAGGCCCCTAAGTAGTTCCTTTTTGTGGTTCATATTTAGAATCCTATAAGGTAAGGGACTACCTTATAGGATTCTAAATATGAACCACAAAAAATACTTAGGGGCCTATGGGTAGGCTTGTCTTTCCTAGGTAGTACTAGGGAGACCCCTTAAAGGGGACCCTTCTGAACCCTACTTATATGCTCTCTTAAAAAGGGACCTTATTGAGAGGGTCTACATCCCCAGGGGTCCCCCTAATCTTAACTCCTATTCTTTCAACGCAGCACAGGGGACAACGTAGGAGATAGAGCATATGTCTACATATAAGCACGTATCTACATGTTCTAGTATACTTCGCTTGATCTCTTCGAGGATTTCAGGAATATGACTTGGATACTGCCCCCACTCAGTAACCTTTGAGTAATATTCATAATATGGATATATAAGGCCCTTAATAGCAGCCCTATTTTGAACTGTTGCTTTTTTGGGGGAAGTACCCAAGATATGACTATGATTTTCGGTCTGCCCCAAAACCTAAACCCTAAAACCTAAACCCTAAGCCCTTAACCCTTAAACCCTTAAACCCTAAAACCCTAATGCCTTAAACCCTAGTACCCTAAACCCTTAACCCTTACTTTTAAACGACGAGGTCCCAATGCCTGGCCCCGGCCTCCTGGTTCCACGACCTCTGGCAGAGGGCATCTTGGCACTTAGGGTTTAGGGTTTAGAATTTAGGGTTTAGAGTTTAGGGTTTAGGGTTTAGAGTTTACGGTTTGGGGTGCTTGTAGGGTTTTTGTTTCGCTTTTTTTCAGGTAACGGTTGTTGTGGGTTTTGGGCTTCAGGTTTGTTGTAACTCTTGAAGGTTTTTCTTAGAGGCTTCGCTGTGGATGTGTTTTTGACAGAGTCTTGTACCTCGTTTGCTGCAGCCTTCTATGGTGTTAGAGGACTCTGTTCATCTGTTATGGCTTTGCGAGGCTGCTTGGATCAGTTCTCCGGGGATATTTGTACACCACCCCTCAACCCTAAAGCTCTGCAGCCCTGAACCAGGGCTTGAACTAAGCAGTAGATTGCGAGCCTTCAAAGGGTTCTTAACCCCAAAACCAGCGAAACGCGGCTTACAACCCTGAGCCCTCGCAGAGTCCGAGTGTTGCGCGAGGGTAAACCCTGGAATCCTCTGCTTCCAATGCCTCTTTGGACTCCAGCGGTAGAAAGACCCAAGCAGCTGTAGGTTGGAGGCTGCGAAGCTGCTTCGTGCCTGGGCTCTGTGGCTTTGGGGTTGAAAGATTAGGCTTCTTAGGAGATTTGGTGTTAAGGCTAAGGATAGTTTCCAGCGGGGTCTGAGGATAGGATCTACGGTTGTTTGTGATGGGGTTGTTTAAGACTAAACGTATTAAGGCTTTGCGTTTCTGCACGCTTCAGTCCCAAATTATTGAGGAAGGCTATCCGCTATGACTCACACCGGGTAGGGCTGAAGGTGAGGGTTCCCGAGTGCTTTCCTGGTTGGAGATCACCGACTTTAGGCTTTATCTGTGTTTTTGGTTTTCAGGTCTTAGGGCTCTTCGATGCATCCTTTGTGATTGTGAAGTCCTCAATCACATAGCTTAGATAGCCATGGGAGAACGTTCAGCTTTTCGACTATATGTATGTATGTATGTATGTATGTATGTATGTAGGGCTGTCGGATCAAACCCCTTGACGGGGTATCGCCGTCTAGAGCCCCAGTGCTGCGAAGACGGCACGTCAGATCGCCTCACCTGCGTGGCATCGCCATAAACGCCGCCGGCGAGCTGCAGCCAGGCGTCACATCTGGACTGCACGAAAGCAAGGCTTGCCCCCGCCACCTTGGGCACTGGTCCTGTTGGCACGGCATCATTCCCAGCCGGCTTACCGTGAACTTTCTGCAGTTCACATGGGCGGGAAAAATGGCCCAAGCAGTGGAACGACAGAGATCAGGGCTATTACGGCGGCCGTGGTGCAAATTATGGTGGTGGACATGGACAGCCGCCATGGCATGTGTGGCAGGGAGCATACTCCCCGAGAATGGCCAGGCCCAAGTTCGACAACATGGTCGTTCCGGACAGCAGCGCCAGAACGGACTCTCCTACCTTCCAGATGGAAGAGCCCACACATTCTGCTTTGATGAGAGAGGTTCAAAAATCCCTATCACAAGCTCGCAAGGCGGATCACAAAGTCAGGCGCTTACAGGAGGAGAAAAAGAAGAAGGCGACGCAGTGGGAGCTCTTCGTCAAGGAATCGAAGGAGGCCTTCCTAGCAGAAAAGAGGCGCTACAACACGGCGGTCAACAAGATAGAGGAGGACATTCAGGCGGCTACTGCTGCAGGCCGCGAATCGTCTGGGATGGTGCAAGCCCTGGTTCTGCAGGGCCTACAGGCGAAGCAGAACACTTCTGCCCCAATGCAGGCAGAAGAGCAGGCATGGGACGAGCTGATCCGGGAAACGGATGCCCCGTCGGAGCCGGGCTTCTTCAGCGATGCCCTCAGAGCAGCGGAGCGAATGAGATTGCCACGACAGAGTGCCATGCCAACCGATGGCAGACTCATGTCACAGGAGGCTGCGGAGAAGATCTTACAGATGGCCATGGCCAGTATGCCAGCAGAGCGTCTTCCCATGGGTTTGAATACGGGCCCGCCTCCTGGACTGGCGGCTCCCGCAGCCCCTCCTGGAGCACCGATGTCTGCGCCGGCAGGGCCTGGAGCGCCCTACATGGGATCCCCCTCTGCCAGGGAGGCAGAGCTCTTGGGTGCAGCGACCCATGCTGCCCCTTCGGAGGCAATGCCGTCACCGAGCCCACCGACAAGAGTGAAGCCCCCTCAAAGGCTGCCGGTCAAAGGAGCTCCTCTACAACCTGTGCATACAGGAGTGGGACAGGCTGCCTCCCTTTCTGGGAAACTGGAGGCCAAACGGGATGCCATGAAGCCCTTTGGTTTGCCGACTGGGATGGCATTTCAGGCCACTCTCAATGGGCAACCTCTTCCCCACAATCCGGTGATCGGGGATTCGGATGGCGATCTGGAAGTGAAGGAGGCAGAGCATCCAGGGCCAGACGGCCTACCCCCAGAAACCTGAGCAGAAGAGGCCATATCCGGAGTAAGGTTCCTTCAGTCGTCACGTGTCGCCTTGCAGACGAATTGCATTGTGAACAGAACTGCTCTGGCAGCCCTGCTCCTGTGCGATCAAGTGCTGGAGGGCAAGACCTTATGATTGTAAGGGACCTATTTCTTGGGATATGTAGCCTTTATGATCTGAATGCAGTAGCTGGCTTTTTAGGATTTAAAAGCCGTGTACAGATTGATTTCTACATCGGTGTACACAGTGCACAACCAGGGAGGTTGTTGCATAACGGCCAAAGCTTTTTTGCAATAGGCCAGTGCCCAACTGCTGAGCAGCCATTTTTAGAGAGCAGTTTCCTCCGTGATGGACTTTGGACGGCTCACAAGCACACCAATTTCAGCGAGTCCAACCGCGCCTTTGATTTTGGCAGCGCACTCGCAGCGAGTTTTGGTTGCTTTCTAACTGCAAAGGGCTATGAACGCCTCAACGTCGAGCAGCCTTGGTGTCCTTGCACTTCCCTTTTCCCGCCATTTGCTGCGGCTGGGCGGCTCTGTTCGGAGTCTCCCCTTGTTTCTTTCTCGGGTTGTGGATTTATCGACGCCGAGATTGCATATCTTCACCTTGTCTGCGTTCCGCATGTCCCTGCAGGACCTGGTTTCCGTGCGCACATCAATAGGTGTTGGGGTGTCATGCGCTGTCAATGCACAAGCAAACAACGACATGGGGTTTTTGACTTTTGCCCCCCATTTCCCAAGGCAGGAGCGCGAAATACGTGCATCGGTCGCTCTGGGGCACGAGCCCTGCCTACAGGGAACTTTCTTTGCTGGGAGTCTTTCTCTGCGGTACCTGGCTATTGGACTTCTTACCTCTCGGTTCTATGTCCTTGCCCTGTCAGTGGCCAATACCCTCTGCCAGTACCGGGTTTGCAGACAATTCCCTGCAGCAAGTGTGGAGAGGTGCCTTGCCAGTGCAATAGCAAGCCTCATGCTGGGGACTTTGGTGATCGCCCCACATCTCACAAGGCAGGAGCGCGAAATACGTGCATCGGTCGCTCTGGGGCACGAGCCCTGCCTTGTGAGAGCATCCTCTGCCTTGCAATTGAGCGGGTCCTAATAGGCCTTTGCTATGTTGCCCATGCCTCGTTGGCCTTTTGTAACTCGCTTCTGGTCATCCTTTTTCTTAGACTTTACAAGGTCCTTATAGGCAGTTTACCCGGCCGCCACACACCACTCGCAAAACTTTTGCGGTTTCCTGTCCTTGCTGTGCCCAGTGGACTGGTCTTGTCCTTGGGAACAGTCGGAAGTGTCAATGGGGTTCTTGAGTGGTGCCCAAAGAAAAGTGGTAAACCCAGGATTGCCAGGAAGAACCAATGTAGGGTGCAATGCCCCATCAGACGAAGAGCCTGGACCTTTCTGCCTTGGCTCTTCTTCCCTGCCATGCCTGTACAAGTGTGGGCAGCGCCTCCGGGCGCGCCTGAAGCGGTCAATGCACTGCGCTCCTTTACGAGAAGCCTCCCGGATCCACTCTCCACGGCGTCTACTGCAGGCTTTGATCCGGCCATTGGCTCTCCCATTGCCACCTCCGCTGTGGGCTTTGCGCCAAGTGGAGGACCTTTCCTAGCTGCCGGGGTGCCAGAGTGCTGGCCAACTCCCTTATCACAGCCACATTTTGCGGAGCAGACTGTTGCTGCTGATTTTGCCTGTCGTGTTGCCTACCCTTCAGTAATCTCTGGCAATGGCAGCGATGGAAGATTGTTAGGGGTTGAGCTGTATGCGCCGTACTATCAAACTGAGGTTTGGGCTGTTCACGCTCCTCCTTCTAGCACGGCCGACTCTTTGCGCGGCTCCGTTCAGCACATACTTCAAGATGCATTCGGGGGAAGACTTGATGTTGCTGCCCCCCTTGTGCCGCAACGATATATAGGTAGCGCGCAGTTTATTGCATATCCGCGCATTTTAGATGCAGACGGTGGCATGGGTGTGGCAGTTCTTTTCGACCTAAGCAGAGTTGGGGGTCATGCCTTTGCCGCTGTAGTTGCTCGTGTTCTCCAGGACGCAGATGTTCTGAGATTTATAAGGCCATTAACTCGCAGTATCTCCGACGAATTTTCTATTTACGTCGGCACAGCACAGACTCCGTGCGCAGAGGGTGAGCATTTTACCGTTTCGCACGGCACAGTGATCACTGTGTTAGCTTCGCATGCAGTTCAGTCTGCAGCCAGAGCCACCGACGATCTCTTCAGAGACGAGGCAGAATGGTCACAAATCCAACATGTTCCAAGAGCCCTGTATACACCCGGAGTCTGCGTCTTGTCGGGTGGATATAGATTTCTGGTACAGCAGGAATATCATCCAGGTCGCACCATCACCCAGGCCATCTCTGTAGTTCTTGATAAGCCTGACGATGCTTTCATTGCTTGTAGCTCGTTTGCCTTTGGTGACCTTGATGTGCAAGGTACACCATGCGATAGAGCCATAGCTACTGCCGACCTAGTGCCGACGACAAGCCTTCCCCCCGGTTCCAGGAAAAGGGATGTCTGGATTTTTTGTGATTATAGGCCCCTCGGGCTGAAGCCCAAAGCACACTTGACCCATGTCTATGTTGCTCACATACCTTCTCTCTTAGCCATTGATGGGGTTATAGTGCCTGTTGGGTTCACACTGCAAGTTGTAGGCGGCGAACTCCAAGGAGATGAGGTGAGGTTGCAAGATGTCACCAATCTTGTGTTTTCTTGCCGCTCAAACGATGCTGATGTAGATGCTACTTCCCAGGGAGATGACCAGCCCCCTCACGACCCTGATGAGGATGACCAGGGTGATGATCAAGATGGGGACAGAGCGACGACAGAAGGTCATCAAGATGGTGAACTAGTCCTACCCAGCACCGCACCTTCTCAGGACGGTGGTCGGACAGCAACGTCGAGAAGCCGCTCACCAGCAGGGGAGCGCCCAGTTGCCCAAGTGCACTATAAGGATCCTATAAGCTCGTGTGATAGAACGCCTACCCCGCCTCTGCAGGCTGCTGAAACCCAGGCTCTTCCATCATATACTGCTACCTCCGACAGTGTATCTGTCATAAGTTGTCCTGTCGAAGCCAAGCAGCCCGAACGACCTGGTGACATTGCACACCCTGTTTCAGATAATGCCGATGCACAGCACCTGCACCTTCAACAACTCCTT